ACGATGATCAAAAACAAAGCTTGCGGGTAAGAGTACACCGTCTTTCCATGTTTCGGCCGCGGGCAAGATAACTATAGAAATAAGTTAAAAGATAAAATTTTTATTTTTTATTAGTACTGTTTTATATTTTTTAATAGGATGGCACTTTTCTCTCCGTCGATCGTGAACAAATAAAGTTCGTAAGCTACTGCTTTGAAATAAAAAACTATCATAGTCAAACCTCACGAAGCGATGTTTAAGGATACATATTTAAAGAAACGACGTTGAAGAAAAATAATACATAATTGACCTTCAGATATGTTTATGAAATCCTTCATTTTTATTCTAGAATAGTAAAATCTTTTTTGAGAAATCTATTTAGGCGTACCTATATCGGTGACTTCCGTAGCGATAGGTCGGTTGTTTCTGCACTCGTGCAACAAGACAACTGGTTTCTTCGTGACAACTTCGATCATTTCTGCAAACATTTCGAAGAGTCCAATCGGCAGTGAGGGCACTAAATGATGCGTTGCCAGGATCAAATGATGTTCTTCAAAGTTCGGTGCTGACATAGGTGGCCAGAATTTACGTGCATTAATCACGTCTCGAGCTAATTCCTTTGTTAATAAATGTTCAAGATTTTAGTTAATTCCCATCTTAATTGTATTTTATTTTAATTTTGTGAATAAAATTTATTTAAGAAATTTAATTGAATTTATTCTGGGAAAGAAAAATTATATTCATCAGAATAAGAACTATAAACTATTATATATTATAAAAAACTATTATAAAAACTATTATAAAATTATGTAAATGAAATTTTTTGCATAGCTATTATTGGCTGATGATTTAAATTTATGAAACAACCGAAATAAATTCTTTAAATTTATTTAACTCTATAAAGTTAATTTTTAAAATATAAATTTTATATTTTTAAAAATTTAAAATTTCAAAATAAATATTCATAAATTACATTTTTAAAATAAATTATTAAAATTTATAAAACAATATTAAGAGAGAAAATGTTAAGTTAAAACTTACAACTTTTTCGATGACGGGTATCATTACTGTTTTGCCAGTATCATCAGCTGATTTCGTAGAGTCCTCTTCAATAAAATCTTCTTCAAGTTGACTTTCTTCAAGCTTAATGAAATTTTTTAAATCGTCCTTTTCTTTCTCGTCTAACTTGTAATCATTAGCTAGAATAGAGGCTATATTGGTAGGCTCATCTATAGTAGTGGACTCATCGTCTATAGGTTTTGATCTACTATGTATTAATAGTTTTTCCATTTCATCACTTGTTATGGGAATGGCCGGTATAGAACTACACTTTAAGCATGATTCTGTATTTCCATATATTTCGATTTTGGTATTGCACGTTGAACATTCTTTTGACATTTCAACTTCCTCTATTTTGTTGAAAGATTCGGACGTAGTCTGGACTTCCTGAGAACTCTCGGGCATTTGGCACATTTCTGCAATGTTTGGATCTTCAAAAGTTTCACTTATAATACGGGTGACTTCGTCCACTTCGGTCTTGGGCAGTAGGCACACTTTTGCAACTTGTGAAATATGAGGAGTCTCAAGTTTGGTGGACTCTTCAGATATAATCTTGGGTGTTTGGCATACCTTTGCAGCTTCTAGAATTTCAGGAGTCTTAATTTCGATGGATCCTTCGGACGTAGTTTTGAGCATTTCAGATATTTGAAACATTTTTTCAGCTTTTGGAATTTCAGGAGTCTCAAATTCGATGGACCCTTCGGACGTAGTCTTGGGCATTTGGAACATTCTTGTTTTTGGAATTTCAGAAGTCTCTAGCTTGGTGGATTCTTTCGATGTAATCTTGTGCATTTCTGGAACTTTACGATTCTTAGATTTGTCAGAAGTGCACGTTTCGGATGCGATCTTCGGCATTTCGCATACTTCTGGAAATTTACGATCAGCTTTGCTGGAAGTGTAAATTTTTGACGTAATGTTAGGCTTTTGGCATACTTTGGAAGTCTCAGGTTGCATAAAAGTGAATGTTTTGGACATTTGGAATTCTTCTTCTATAGCTTCAGAATTGTCAGGCTTACTGGAGATAGACAATTCGGTCATAGTCTTGGATATTTGACATGTTTCTGTAACTTTAGGATCCTTAAGTTTATTAGAAGTAGAGATTTTAGACGTAGTCTTGATGCTTTGCGAAGTTTCTATCTTAGGCTTTTCTGTTAATTTCTCCACTTTCTTCTTGGCATCTTCCATTAATTTCTTGAATTGCTCTTTTTTCTTTGCGTCTTTTTCTTGCTTTTCCTTCTTCAATTTCTCGTCAAATTCCCGAGATTCAGTTTTCTTCTCGCTCATTTTCGTGAACACCGAAGAAGCACTGACACCAGAATCCCGAAAACAAAAAGACGATGCGAGAAACAACGGCAGATTCTCCTACAAGACACGTTTCAAATTGATCGCAAAGCAGTTTTAAACTGTCGATCGGCGGAGAGGTCGAGTTCGATTATGATTCTTCAAGATGGATATGTGTATGTCACTGTTTATCGTCAGTCGTTGGTCGCATGACAACTGCGTGTATCACGGGAATGACGATACTGCTCCACTGTGTAAGCGATACCGGTCTTGCCTGAGGTCGCGATAGGTCTGCAAATTTTATTTTCCTCTTCTTTTCTTCTCAACAATATTCTCTCCCACTTACAGTACAGTTTATTAAACACACATTTATAATAATATATAAGATGCCCCCGAAGTGCCCGACTTTCAACGATATCTAAAGGTCAAAGTCAGAAAGAGAGAATTTAATTTAAATTGTGTCTGTAAAAAGATATGAAATATATCGTTCCTCTCGGCAAACAAATAATTCAAAAATTATATGTATCAATTAAGAAAATATAATTAAGTAAATAAGGAAAGTTAACTTGCACGATTATCGTCCTTTACTTATTATTAGCGTCTTTTGTTCCCTATTTTGGTTCCATTTTATTATTAAGAGCCATTCACGCAAAAAATATTTTGCTGGTTCAACTAGAATTATAGCTGCTTTTTGTATCTGATTATGAGATGTCATCATAAGAAAATTATGTATCATATGCATAGAATTTATACAAATCTAAATTCTCTGTCTATGATCGGATGTAATACATATCCAATATTGCAGTACTTGCTATAAATTTATCTATTTTTAGCTATTTTTCGTATTTAGATAATTTTCATTATAACTGCAAGATCACTTTTTTGAGTGTTACACAAACATCGCCGTAATTTCTTATGTCATCTTATGTCATTATATGTCATAAGACATATAATGTAACACACAGAAAAGAATATAATAAGGAATGATAAGCAGCTTATACATACAGTGAGTGTAAAAAATATTTGTACAGAGAAAATATATTTTAAAAAACTTTATTTTTAAAAAGTAAATTATCAAGCAAGAAATGAGTCATCGAATCGATATCGATATGATTCAATACCAATTTGACGTCGATTTTAATTGACGATTATTTCTTGTTGGATAATTAATAATTTATTTATAAAAAATAAAATAGACTATAATGTTTCTTAAAATTATATATGCCAAAAAGATGTGTATTAATTGTAGAAAATATAGCATCTAAAAAAAAGCGAAAATTAAAAATTGTATTGTTGTTCAAAAGATATTCGTACAGTAGAGAAATTTAGCTTCTAAAATCAAGAATACATTTGTTTATGTTAGAATAGAATATATTCATTATATAAAATTGCTAATATTTATTTTCTAAAACTAAGACTTTTTTTATAAAAAATTTCCATGTACGAATATATTTTGTTTTCATTGTATATATTTCTTTGTATATATTTCGTTGCTTAATAAGGACGTATAACCCTTCCATGCACAATAGAAGAATTTATCTTTACTTTATTTAACTTTACTTTATTCGTGAAAAATATTGCCTACGAAAATACTAGGGAAAATACTAGAAAAATCTATAATATACATGAAGAATATTAAAATATTTTTTTCATTTTCGTGTGCGATATTTTTAAGAATGGAGCCTCTGCAATTCTTTAGGAAAGAGTATTTGAACCCAAATTTGGCTGTTCTAAATACGGTAATATACCACTATTTATATATGCACACTCTCTAAAACTTTTAAAGTTGAATGATCACTCTGAAAAGTAAAATCTCACTTTTAAAGATTGAAACTGAGTCACTCCTTTTCAAGATTGACTCAATTTTCATTCTTTAAAATGAGATTCTACTTCAAAGAATTTAGAGGATAGGAAAGTGCATTTGGATCTTTTTATCTGTTCCAGTATGTTACACTTCTTTTACATCAAAGATCTATTTTTTGATTGAACTAATATACACTTTTGGAATTAGTATACACTTTTGAAACTTAAAGTGAGATAGATATATGTTTAAATTTGACGAAAGCGAGAAAGAGAATTCTAGTGCAGTTTAGTGCAGGAATAAAAAATCTTATGTCACACATTAATGTCATACTTGTTTTTTACATCATAATGATTGGTTCTACTTATCATTTTGTCTCATCATTTTGTTTCATTTTTTATAATAAATCTATTTTATACAATATTTGGAGATTTGCTTCTTCTTTTGTGTACGTTTCCATTAAAAATAATTCCTCGTTGGTCAAAAATTGCATTGATCTCAAATCGTGTCGAGTTGAGATTTTGACAGTCGTTTAACGAGTCCTGCAAACGGACGAAAGTCCCACCGACCTTGTCTAACATGTTTATGGCCGATGAAGACTTCATCCGGACGCATCGCTCGCTTTTGATGATCGTCATCGAATGACACGACCCGACGATATCGAATTTCTTCTGGAAATCTTTCGCTGTTGTCATAGGTCAATTTTTAATCCGAGAAATCGCAGTTTTGTCTTTGAATATAATCTTAAGTCGGCATTGAATTTCCAATTCAATAGAATTCAGTAGTCAAAGAATTATGAAAGTTTAAGATAAGATTAATCTATAACAAGAAAAAATAAATAACAAGAAAATTAACGATACATAACTAATACAATTAAATGAGAAGAGCTTTAGTCGGTCAAAGACCTTCGATCGAATCAGCCTAGATAAAGTTAAGACATGAGACATCTTTAAGATATCTTTTAGACGTCAAAGACGTCTTATGTCTCCAATTTTAATACTTTGTGTTGTCTGAGACGCTGTTCTTTCTTGTTTAATTAAAATTATAATCAATGTTAAGCTTTACATTAATTAAATCAAATTAATTCATATTAAAATAAATTCAGATATATTAAAAAATATATCCAGAAAGAATTATTGTTTGTGAAATAAGAAAATCTTTTCCAAATTTAATTATTACTACTCTCTCTCTCTCTCTCTCTCTCTCTCTCTCTCTCTCTCTCTTTATTCCTTTCTTTTTTCTCAGTATTTATAGCAAAAATTTTGGAGATGTAAAATTACACAACGATTCAAAAGAAATATAAACACAACAAAAAAAAAGAGAAAGAGAGAAAAAGAGAGAAGTTGTCACAAAAGTTTACGACTTCTTTTTTCTTTCTTAAGAAGTCACGTTCTTAAAGGTCTTTCAATTGGAAATGTGCAGACTATCATGGTTCATGATTCCCATGGAATGCACGATGACCACTCCGTACGCAGGTGTAACCTGTCAGGTGATGTCACCACACACACTTGAGCATTTGCGATCGAACAACTTTACGATCCAACGTGATTGAGCGAGTAGCATCACGAGTCTTTCATTCTTTCTTAAAAGAAAAGAAAATAAAAAGATTAATTTAATGATTGAACTTTTATGGTTAAACTTCCACTTAGCGTATCTTTTACAATTAATAGCATGCAAGTGCAGATATTTTCATTGAAGAAAGAAGGAGAGCAATAATAAACGATTTATTAAGACGATGTACATGTAAATACGCTACAAATAAGAATTTAAAGCCTATAACGGTCGAAGCTGGATCTTAGATGCTTAAATAATTTCCATGTGAATTTATATATCACATATGTAGTCATTTGAATTGCGTGCCGAATTGGTTCTTCGGATTTATAAATGCAATTAAACTACATAGTAATATATTAATATTACAAATTAAATTGACAAACAATTAACAATTTAATTTGATATTCAATTAGGCATCCTATTAGAAAGATTAATGTATTGTAAATAAATTTAAAAGATGGAAAATATGTGAACTGTAAATATAGAAATAAGAGATAATATAATAATAAATTTCTCTTCTATTACTATAAGAGAGAAACATAAATTATATAAATAATTAGCGTATAGTGATTAATATAAGATCTCCCATGAAATGTGAATAAGTACAAAAAATACAGATTTCAGGGAATTAAATTTACAAAATGAATTATTCTTCGTTCTCAGTATCGTAGAAAAATCAGGTTGAGCAAGCATTTCGACAATTTTTCTCTGATGAGAATTTGAGCTTGTTAAATTATTCAGAATTCCACGCCAATGCGCAATAAAGATGCTTATCTGGAAGCGTCGCAGAGAAGTCTCAAGATTTGCAGAAAAAACGTGGATCACGTCGGTTTCTTCCAGAAATAACGTTGGAAAGCGGAAATTCATACATTAATAAAAGAAGATCGATATCGAAATTAAAAACAAGATAAAAATTTAAATTAAGGCGAATGAATAAATTGTTAATAACATTGCATACTCTTGATGCGATTTTAATGCGATTGAAATAAATAAATAATTAGTTTCGCGCAAAAATAAATATTATAAAAGATAAAAAGGAAGATTTTCTTTTTCCTTTTTGTTTTTATATCGGAAAAAATCATCACGAAAGCCTTACAGAAATCTAATACTACTGACCAATACTTAAAGATAGTAATTAATTATTTATTTGAAGTATTAAAAATATGTTGTCGAGTATTTTTAGAACGTACTTCAAATAAATAATTAATTACTATTTGTTAATAACACATTGGACAAAATTAGATTTCTGTAAAGATTCCATAATGTTTTTTTCGATGAAAAAAGGGAAGAGAAAATCTTTTCTTGAGTGAAAAATGTTATATTCGGTCAAACGGTTTTTCGTGTCCAACAACATATTTCTAATAAAATTTCTTGTGAACTTATACTCTAAACTTTTTGGAATTAATTGTTACTCTAAAGAGTGAAACCTCACTCTTAAAGATTGAGCCACTCTTTTTTAATTTTAGCACAATTTTCACTCTTCAATGTGAGATTCCATTCTAAAGAATTTAGAGAGTACAGTTTCCAGTTTGCACAGTCCTAAACCGAAGCTGGAGTAGTAATGTCACCAATTAAATAGTAATACCATAAAGAAAATTTTCCGTGACATATAATGAAACGGGTAAAGAGCAGATCTTGGCGATTAGAGTCGCGACGCGTCGCGACGCGACGCCACGCGCTAACCGTTGCCGTACATTCGCATCGATACGTTATCGTGGCGTCAGTGATTATATGCCTCTCACAAATTCACGTATTACATAAATCCATGCACGGTGCACGCGCGGATCAATTAACGGCCGTCATTTTTATCACACTGTCACGGTTCAAGG